TACCCCACAGAACAATCAGAGTCCTCATGTGCCAGTTCACATTTTGAATTCATCATCACCCCCACCTCTCACCTAAATCACTTTTTCCATGTACTCACAGACTCACTGAATGGGAGCCCTGTCACCCTGTTACCCAAATCAGAAATACTGGTGTTAACTTTAGCTTCTCTTTTAGCTTTCACATCTAATAAATCACTAAGGCTTATCAGTTTTATCTTATTGTATCTCTCAAGTCAGTCAGTGCATTTCTCTTAATCTTCACTTGAAATACTTTACTGCAGATCTCCCATCATTTCACATGAAGATTACTGCAGCAGTCTCCTAGCTGGTTTGCCCCTAGTTGTCTCCTCCAGATCATACTTACCCTGCTGTTGAGCCTCACTACATTTCGGAGAGCTTTGCAGATCCTTGAACCATCATAGCCTAATGGCCTTTTTTCTGAGTTAGAAAACAAAACAAAACAAAATATCACATTCCTTATATCAAACAATTTGAGCCCTTATTATACATGAAAGGTACTGAACTAGACTTGAGCCATATAAGAGAGTCACACTCTCTCCCTTCCTGAGACTTACAGTCTGGTTACTATAGATAATGTGTTACAATGCAGGGAAGAGAGGATGATTCTAGGAAACTCAATCTGACATACTCGGATCTACTCCTCCTGACAGTCTGGAACACTAATTCCCTCCCATTCAAAAACCAACTAGTCCTCATTACTCAAGATTTATTCTAAGGAAGCATGCATACCAGGAGGTGGGGATCACTGGAGGCCATTACGGAGGCTTCCTACAGCTATCTTCCTTTTACAGGGGAGGCACAGAGAGGTTAAATAATTTGCCTAAGATTATATAGCTAGTCTAAGTGGCAGACTAGGGATTCAAACTCAGTCTAACTCCAGAGTCCTGGCTGCTACACAATACTGTCTCTGTACTTTTAATTCTATAAAGGAAGCTTAAGCTCAAAAGGAGTTTAAGTTACTTGCTTAAGATCACACGTGCTCCTAGTCTTACGGTTCCTAAACCTGGCTAACTATCAAATTAAACTGTGGAGCATTTTTTTTAATTACTTTGAAATTTTTAATAGGTAATTTATCCACATGTACTCAAAAGAATCTACAATGAAAAAATAAGCTTTATTTAATATAACTTAGCTTCTGACTCTGGTGTATGTACAGCATTCTTATTTTCTAGAATTTCTGTAGCAGCACTGATCTTACATACTTGGTTTTCTTTTCAGTGAAGAAAATTAAAATATATAAAGTTATTTGATTCTTTGTAAGAATTTTCAAATGAGTAATCTGCATTTAAATTATTTTTTTTGGTTTGGCCTTAATATTTTATTTGAAAAATTATCACAATGTAGACAGCAGGATGTTTTAATCAGATATTGATTCTTGCGCGCGCGTGCGTGCGCGCGCACACACACACACACACACACACACACACACAGATCTGTCTTTCCACCTACTTACTCTTGTCCCTCATCATCCTTCCAAGACCCATCTATGGAAGAAACTACTATTATCAAGTTTTTTGTTTAACTTACTAAGAATGTTCTACCATACACAAGTGTGTGTGTGTGTGTGTGTGTGTGTGTGTACTGTGTACACACATACACATGAATACACATACATACAGCTGGTAGCATTTATACATAGTAGTCTGTACCCCGCTTTCTTAACTATATGTTGGAAATAGTTTTTTATTGGGGCTTCCTATTTTTTTTTCCCCTAGCATAGTTCATGCAGTGGATCCATCTAGTCTCTTATTGGTAAAAATGACGATTGTTTACAGTCTATTATTACAACAAGGCTGCAGTGACTTTCCTTGTATATATACATCATTTCATACATATCGGTGTAAAACTCGGGCAGATTTCTAGAAATTACTAGGTCAAAGGATATAGGATATGTGCATTTGTAATTTTAATAGATGTTGACAGTTATTCCTCTTACAGATTATTTTCCAGTTTACACTCCTGCCAACAATGTACAGAAGTGCCAATTTCTCTATTATCCTCAGTAATACAGTGTTATCAAACTTTATGATTTTGGTTCATTTTTATAGATTAAAAATAACACCTCGTTTTGGAAATGATGTTTGGAGGATTTTTCATATGTCTATTTTCTTTCTTCTTTTGTAAGCCTTCTTTTATTATACTAAGAAAATTAGTTCTTTCTTTGTGACGGGTTGTAAATGTTTTGCCCAGATCGTCACTTGTCTTTCATTTTGCTGATGGTGTTTCCTTGCCTTACTTTTTAAATTTTTAAATAGTTAAATATATCAGTCTTTTCTCTTTTGACCTTTAATGGACTACTTTAAAGGAGTAACAGTCATTTGCATATAAAGCATAAGTTCTGATACGTGGTATAGAAATATCGTAGATGTTAAAGGTAGGCATGTAACTTGGTTGAAATCTCAGCTCATTAATTAGCTGGTGGTCTTACAAGTTACTTCTCTGGATCTATATTTTTTCACATGTTATGTGGAAATTTTACCTGACTTACAGGTTCTTCTGTTTTTCTGGTGAGATTTAAACAAGGTAATGTCCTGGTATATTTTAGGTGGTTATAAAACTGAGTTTTACTAAATTTAAAGATTTTAAAAAATCAATAGTGTTAATTTTATAGTCAGACTTTATATATTTCACTATCTTATTTTGATTTCCAGAAACTTAGCAGGAAATTTCTCCGTTAACAACATAAATGTTGAAAGACTGCAGTAAAAATTAGTTATGAAAATACATACTCAGTAAATGTTCTAAAATAAATTCCTTTTTCATTATCTCTGAGATACTAAAATAAAAAATTTCCCTTTGTGCTTGAGAGTCTTTCTAAAATGAATTCTGCATCTATTTTCTTAATTTGTGTTTTTTCTGTTCTTAGACAAAAAAAAATTCTTAAACAGAATCTTTTTATTTCCTACCAAGTAATGAAATAAGTCAGATTAACTATTAGTGGATCTCAGAATTATTTTGTTTTCAAGTGTAAATGGGAACCATTATAGAATTGGATGGATGCTTGTTTTAACCATATTTGGGCCATTATTATAGAATGAGTATTTTTATTCCTTTTGGGAGGGACAACTTTTTAAAAACTAGTTATTTTAGCAAGTAACATGACACTAATGTTTCTTATATGTACATATATTTTGTTTCTCTAGAGTGGCATATCTACAGTCAAAAAAATTTAGTAAGACAGATATTGCACAGATGGTCAGAAATGCACCATTTTTGCTGAATTTTTCAGTGGAAAGACTGGATAACAGATTGGGATTTTTTCAGAAAGAACTTGAACTTAATGTGGAGAAGGTAATGAAAAGGGGAGCATTTATAAATTTCCATGTCAGCTACATTTAGTAACTGTTAAATCTCATGTTTGTAGCATATGCCTTCTATAAATGCCTGGTATTTTCTGTACAGGAATGAATTAGCCTGCTAGTTTAAACATATAGCTGTATTATTTTATAACATTCCATCAAATCGATTCCTTAAGTTTTGTTTTCAGTGTTTATTTTTTTCCTCAAATAGTATTAAGTTTATGTATTTCTGGGGTTCCTAGCACTTCTCTGACTGGGTCGTTTTAAAATTTTTAATTTTGTATTTCTAGCAATGCTTTTCCAAACTAATTGGATATGCATAGATAGTAATGATAGATTGTTTTATCACTGTAGACTAGAGATCTGGTAGTTCGTCTCCCAAGGCTACTAACTGGAAGTCTGGAGCCTGTGAAAGAAAATATGAAGGTAGGATGACTTTAATCTTTTGGGAAATCAGCTTCTTTAAGTTTTTAAGTCCTCCAAAGAGGGGGTAGATTTTGCTATTGTCATCTTAAAGAAAACTAAATTATAAATGAAGTTATTTCTAAAAAGATGAAAATAGGAAATGATACAATAAATGTCTTAGTAAGCGATTTGTTTTAGTTAACATTTTCACTTGTTGACCTGGTGTTACATGAGTTAGTCACCTTATAGACATTGATGCCTGTAATCCTAGAGTGGATTAGGTGTCTGGGTGCTACCTGGAAACTGCTTCCATTGTCCAGTGTGAGAGTCTGTGACTGTGTCACCCAGGTGGGAGAAAAGTTTTGGAGGCTGGGTCCAAAAGACTGTGAAGAGAGCAGTGGCCAGCACATTGCTCTCTATAGCACCTGTGTCAGTTGCCAACTCTAATTTTGTCACAGAGCGTACTGACACTCTACTGTTTATTCTCCCAGGGAAGAACGTAGAGACAAGGGCAGCTGTCTAGGGAGTATACAAAGCTGTAGCAGTAATTGAAATTGTCTAAGGCCTATTTTCTGAGGTGCTTAAAGTGTTTCCTATTCAGTTGTAGAAATTTTTTTGAGCATCTGCCCACACGCTATGCTGGGGGAATGTCGCTGCTCTTGCAGAGCTTTCAGTCTAGTGGGGGCTGATAAAAGCAGGACTGGTGGAGGAGCATAGGCTACTATGACTGCACATAGCAGGCCTAACTCACGTGTGGGTGTTTCATCATCTCTGTCTGTAATTTCAACATGTAGTTTTTCAGATAACTCATGTAGGTGTGCATGGGAACAGAGGCTTGAAAAGCACTTTGAAAATTTTACTGCTGGTCTGTGTGGTGTAGCGCCCATACCGATAACCTGACGAGGCTCCCCCATACCCACCATCGTTCTACCTCATAGTTATGGTCGCTCCTTTTGATCTTGATGATCACCATGCTGTGAGTAGCTCATTCTCAGGAATAGGGTTTGAAATTCAGGTTACCCTAGAAGCAAGAAACTACAATCCCTTAGGGCACTGGCATAGCTGTCTCCAGATTTTAATGTCCTTATTTTAAATTTTAAAAGAATCAATGTGCCCTCTGACATAGTACCAAAGTAACGATTTCTGTTCATGATTTACAGCATCTCTACTTTCTTTTAGGTTTATCGTCTTGAACTAGGTTTTAAACGTAATGAAATTCAACATATGATCACCAAAATACCAAAGATGTTAACTGCAAATAAAAGAAAACTTACGGAGACTTTTGATTATGTGCACAACGTGATGAACATTCCCCACTACGTCATTGTCAGGTTCCCACAGGTAATGGGTGCACAACTCTGGGAGAGCAGTCCTTGCCTCTCTCGGGAGCTGCCCTCTGTGTGCGTAGCACTGTTCGCTTGTGAGAATGCCTTGCTGTTTGTGAAGGATTTGGGCCAAATACATTCTAGTTCTGAGAGTTGTGTGAAGGTCATATTTTTCTTGCCCATCTTGTTATCAAGAACATATCTAGCAAACAGTAGGGAGAGGGCTTGCTCGTGAGAAGTTTACAACTTCTAGGGCACACATGTCCATCTTCAGAGGAGAAATAAGTGACTTCTAGTTTTTACCTGTTCTTATGCCTGTTGGAATCTAATATATTCTCTCATTTTTTTCCTCCATTTAAATTTGAAATAGATCACTTCCCTTATAGGTCTTTTCAAAGCTACATGTACTTTTATTCTCAAGCTATCTAAATCCACTAGTTAATAAGCCATATTGTAATGATCATCTACCAAAGCATAAAACAATTCCAGTTTGCCATCATGTCAAATCCATAATTGGATTTTCTAAGCTAATCAGACTTTTCTGTTCTTTACCTAGGAAGTGACATTATCTTCCTGTTTTCAAGAATGTTAACTCTTCGAAAGCATAGATCATGCCCTATTTATGTACACTGCTGAATTTCTAGTGCCTGGAACTATGCCTGGCAATTAGTAGGCAGTAGGTAAATACTTATTGAACAAATGATTGATTGAATTTCATCAAATTCATTTTTCTTTCTTGTTTGCCATGTGAATAGAATAAGTATTCATTGGATAAATAGAAGATTGAATTTCATTAAAGTGATCCTTCTACTTCATTTGCTACATATGTTCTTCATATAAAGATGGGCAAATGATATGTGACTTTAATATAACTCTCAGAACTAGAGTTTATTTGGTCCAATTCCTTCACAAATAACAATGCTTATTTACCTATTGTACTTCACTATGAATAGGCCCTTAATAGAGAATTTTTCTGTTGCATCAGATGGATATGTATTCATTACAAAAAGGGTTAGAGCCTGCAATAGTGCAAATTTGGCTTATGGAACAATCGTAAAGTAAATAATCTTCACCTAAAAAGCAATGGCAATTGGTTTTCCCCAGAGTTGGCAGATAATTCGGTGATAGTAAAGCATGATAAGAGAATCTGATTTGGGGATACAAAAATCAATCAGACATGGTTTATAGTCTTGTGGAATTTGTAATTTATATGAAAGACGGGTTTAAAATGTAATTGCTTTACAAAAAGAGTCTTAACCACATGTCTTATAGAATTATTAATTTAATTCAGAGGAGGTAGGAAAATCATAGAAACAACAGCAGCTATTGAGTGCTTAGTATGTGCCAGTGCCATCTTTACTGCTTTATTTATATTAATTCATTTAATCCTCACAACAACCATATGAGGTAGATACTGTTTAACCATAAAGAGAGTCAGTAACTTGTCTCAGGTGACCAAAGTAACAAGGAGCAGAAATAGGATTAGAACTCTGGCAGTCGAGTTTAAAAATCCATGCTCTTAACTAGGATTTGCTGCCACTCTAGGAAGTGACATTTGAGTTGTCAGTAGAATGAGTGGGGTTTCAAAGATGGATGGAAACTTTACAAGTGGAAGAAACTATTACCTTGACCAGACGCATTAAAAACACTTGTTTAAAGACACAGACTTTAGGCACCCCAAACTCTGGCTTCTGGAAAATTCTGTTGTAGAACTATAGCTTCCATATTGGGACTCTCAGACTCCTAGGGGTCTGAATAATATTGCTGGCGGGGGTGGGAGGGGAACCTCATTAATGGAAAAAAATGCATTAACTGATGATAGGGCTTTGAGGAAACTAATACAGACTTTAAATTTTTGGCCAGTGCTCTCAAACCTTCGGTGTGAAACAAATTTTCTCATGCAAATAACAGTTCTTATTGGCACATATATTTATAATTAATTAAAAATGGGCAACAATTATAACTTAATGCATATGGTTAATTTAGTCATTTCAAAACAATGACATGGAAAGTAAAGGATAACAAAAGCAGGGTAATGAAGTGAGAAAATCACTAGGTGAGGAAAAAGGTTATATTCAGGCTCCCCTAAAACCTTGTTTCTCCTCTCCCACTGTGGGTTTCTGTGAAGGCAGAGCTGGAATCTATGTTAGGAGAAGAGGGAATCAGTAATTCTCAGGCCAGTGGTTTGTTTGTTTGTTTGTTTGTTTTAATCCCTGATAATTTAATCGATCACTTAACAGAATGAAATTTTTTTGGCAAGAATTGTGGTTAACAATCAAAAAAGAAAAAGAAAAACTCCATCTGAGCTGTGGCTTCTGGGCTGGAAAAATCATACAAATCTTTAACCTTGAACCATTGGAGAAGCAACATAATATCTGGTCATAAACTATGTGAATGCTCTGAAGTATCATTATATTTAGGAAATTTGTAATAGTTTGGGAGCTTCCGAGTTATTTATGGTCTAATCTGTATGTTGTATAATAATTTCGTAAGCCAAGAGTCACTACAAAGGAGTCACACTTCTAAAGAAATACATCTAGAAGCTTCCTACATCTTTATGAGCAGTAACAATGCAGTAATGGGAATTTAGTTACCAAAGTGAAGGCAGGACAGCATGTAATTCATTTTTGCAGAAGGAAAAAGATATTTTGTTCCAAAAGCAAACCAACCCCATGCTGAGTTAGTACACCATGCGTGTGTGTGTGTGTGTGTGTGTACATACATATATATGTGTATATATATGTATATATATATGTGTGTGTGTACATATATGTGTGTGTATATATATACGTATACATATATGTGTATATATACATATATATATACACACATATATACACGTATATATATACATGAAATGTACACACACTAAAGTACAGTGACCAAAAAAAAAATTTTGTCTGTGTGTATAATTTTTTTTTTTTTGGTCACTGTACTTTAGTTTTCAATTGCTTTATATATATCCTCACTGTACTTTAGTTTTCAGTTGCTTTATATATATCCTCTCCAATTGATTCGTTACTATTTCATTTCCACTTGAACAAAGGAAAGACTCCAGAGGTTATGTACCACGTGGAGTGTTCCCAGTGTACCTGAAGTATAGCCAAGAGAAGAACCTGAGACATAATACTGAATGTGGTTCACCTGGGCCTCGCCAGGGTGCCTCACAGATGTCTCTCTCCAGCTTAGTGCGCTCTTTACCGCCTGGCTGGATCTTTCAATTCTCTCTCTTGCAGCTGGCTGTAGGGACTTAGTCTGCTTCCGATTCCTTTTTAAAGTTGCTGTTGCTACTCACTCTCTTCTTTAGGAGTTTTAACCCCAAGGTGGGTAAGACATAGTTTCTCTAGTTGCTCCCCTAGAGGCCAGGTTCATTTCATTTTGACATTAGTCAGGGAGCAGCAGAAATTGAAAGAGAAGGGAAGGGAAAGGGAGGGAGAGGTGGGGAAGGGAGAAGCTTTATGTTTTATACATTTTTTTGATGCCATAGACTTTGATCTCTAACTTTGGTTCTCGAACTGGCAGGCATCAGAATCACTTGGAGGACTTATGAGCCCTACTTTCAAAGTTTCTGATTAAGTAGGTTTGGGGTGGATACTGATAATTTGCTTTTTTAACGACTTCTCCCCTGTCTCTGGATTAGTCAATGTTCTTTGCCTACAGGGTAGCCCTTAATTATTTTATAATTGTTCTGTTTGTGAGTTTCGAGTCCTTTTTTCAATCATAATTTCTTAGTGGAAGCTATAGGGTTTAAACCCTGGGCATTTATCATATTTACTGAGCATGTAGTCAACATGTATTAGCTTATTAAAATTTTTAGCCAGATAAATATTTGAATAAACATCTTTCAGTGCACAATGTTTTTTTAAAAAAACTTTTTCTTTTCTAGGTATTTAATACAAGATTGTTTAAAGTCAAAGAAAGACATTTATTTCTGACCTATTTAGGAAGAGCACAGTATGATTCAGCAAAACCTAACTACATTTCTTTGGACAAATTGGTATCAATGCCTGATGAAATATTTTGTGAAGAGATTGCCAAAGCCTCAGTACAGGACTTTGAAAAATTCTTAAAAACTCTTTAGTTTTGATGAATATTAAAATGTAATAATACAAAGTATGTGTACACATGAATAAATTAATATAGTTTAAAATAAATGTCTCAAGCCTTAATTGATATTGGAAACAATTTCTTGATATAGTAAATTTGGGTACACTTTTTGGTAAATCTTTCTCAAAAGTTCCTATTGACGTAAGTCTTTGACTCAACCATTTTCTTCCTCTGGGGAAGCAGAGAATTAAAAATATAGCAAGCTTAGAGAAAGCGAATTAGTTTACTATAGGCCGGCCTGTTGTTATTCTGGTGAAGATGAGAAAGTGGAGGATCTTATATTCACGGGTCTTTTAAAGTAGTTTCATCACAAGATTTTTTTTTTTTTTTTTGAAATGTTAAATGAGTTTCTAGAGCATACTATATTTTTTATCTAACATCTACTACTTAGACAATGCCACAAAACACATGCACTTTTGGATTATCTACACTGTTGTCTTCCCATGCACAGATATGCAGATTTACCCACAGGTAGCTACTGAGAATCAGGAAAGGGAAACAGGGGAGTAGTTTGAAGGTGAGTAGCGAGGGCAATGAGACATAGTAAAAGGCCATAACAAAGCTTTGACTTATTGCCTATATGCAAAGATTTATAGCATGAATTGATACTTTTTTAAAAAATTTACTGTTAGGATGTGTAAACCTGGGTAAATGATGTAACTTCTGCATCTGATTATTTGGAAAATGAGGCATCGTGACTTCACTTATCTGCCGTAGAATCTCAAGATTTAGTAGAATGTTAACACTGGTGACCCTCTGTGGAGCCATACCTGGTATTCGCACTCTTGGCCAGTGCCATTTGGTCCATGGGACATTATCAGTCTTCTACTTGATAAGCTCTTGTACATCGGGTCTTGTCCTCTTGAAACCCTGAGTCACAACATCAAGAGATCTACTGATTCTACTGGAGAAATAAGGTGGAAAGATTCCTGGTCAAATCTCAGCTGTTCCAGCAATGCTAACTGAGCATGAGACGTGAGCAAAAAGGTTTAGATGTTACAGCCTTGGCAGATACCACATGGAGCAGAAATACCAGCTGAATTCAAAATTGGGAGAAATAAAGTTTTAAACCACTAACCAAGGGGGTAGTTTGTTGTGCACTAGTATTTTGTGATGTGCTGGATGTCCTGAAACCTCGTGAGAAACTAAATTTGTAATTGGTCAAGGCCAAGAATAGAGTTTCTAGAATACAATGGTGATTATGGCACAGATATGTGCCTTTATGGATTTCTCTCTAATGGATGAGATCAATAAACAGGAAACAGGAAGAAGGTACAGCTGGAGACAAAGTATGGCACCATCTTGCCTGATTTTTCTATGGCTCAGAACCTCGTTTTGCCTTTATTAACAACCTACTCATATCAGTCAGAATAGGTTAGCTGTACTGCTGTACTGAATAGTTATAAAACCTCAAATGATTTAAAACTACAGAAGTTTCCATTTCAAACATGTCCAGCTTGGAACCAAAACGGCTCTGCTCCACATCATCTTTAGTGATAGAGGCTGATGGAGCCTCCACTGTATTGGGTGTAGCCAGTGTATGGAAGGGAAAGGAATGTGGAGAATTGCTCTTAAAAACTTCATTTTTCTTGGCCAAAGCGTTGCATGGCCATGCCTACCTTTACGAGAACTGCAGTCCTACCATGCGCTATGAGGGAAACCAAAACTTAATATGTATGGAAGGTAAAGGATAACAAAAGCAGGGTAATGACATGAGGAAATTACTAAGTGAGGAAAAAGATTATTCAGGCTTCCCTAAAACCTTGTTTCTCTTCTCCCACTGGGTTTCTGTGAAGGCAGAGCTGGAGTCCACGTTAGGAAAAGAGGGAATCAGTAATATTCAGGCCAGGGGGTTGGGGGTTTTTGTTTGTTTGTTTGTTTACCCCCTGAATTGATCACTAACAGGATGAAATTTTTTTGACAGTGGCAAAAATTGTGGTTAACAGAAAAACCCATTTGAGCTATGGCTTTTGGGCTGGAGAAATCATACAAATCTTTAACCTTGAACCATTGGAGAAGTAACAGTATCTGGTCATAAACTATATAAATGCTTTGAAGTGTCATATTTAGAAAATTTATACTTAATAGTGTGGGAGCTTCAGAGTTATTTATGGTCTCATCTATATATTGTATAACAATTTTGTATCAGTTTTGAATCAACATTAATGACTACCAGTGAACATCTGTTGGAGCTGGATTTTGTAACAGTCCTGGGTATCTGATTTCTTGACAAAGTCTTTCTTTAGCCACCTTTACACTGTAACCAGCAAGTTGAAACCTAATGGTTAAAGAGGGAGAAGAGTTTACTGAATACTTCTTGCAAGGCAATGTGCCAAAGTACAAAAATGTATTGCATTTCTTCACATGTATTGCATTTCTTCACATCTTTCAGACCTCACTTTCATTAGTGTAGTCTGGTAGCAGCCATTCATCATTTATGTATGCATTCACTTGGTTATACGGGACTGACAAATGTAAGAAATTGTGTCACAGAGGAGAAAAAAAGCAACAATTTTAGTACTAAAATGTGACTAAGACCATTAAATCAAACCTTTTGAACTTACAATGAAATGGACTTCTGCTGTCTCAGGTCTCTGCTTAAAACCAAAGAAAATAAAAGTAGATATCGGTGGGTAGTTGCTCTGGGCTGAATTGTGGCCCCCTGCCGCCCCCACCTAATTCATATGTTGAAACTCTACCCCCCAATATGATAGCATTTGGAGATGTGGCCTTTGGGGGATAATTAGGTTTAAATGAGGTCATAAAGGTGGGGCCCTCATGATGGGATTAATGCCCTTACTAGAAGAAACACAAAAGAGCTTGTTCTCCCTGCCATGTGAGGACACAGTGAATAGGCAGCCATCTGCAAGCCACAGGGAAAGAACCCTCACCTGAAACTGATCACGGTGGCTTCTTGATCTTGTGCCTCTAGCTTCCAGAACTGTGAAAAATAAATTTGTGTTTAAGTTACCCAGTCTATGGTATTTCATTATGGCAGCCTGAGCTGACCAAGACAGAAGTGATTGAAGTTCACCAGTAACTAAATGAGCATCGATCATACTAACGCCATTTTCTGTCCCTAGATGTTTATGCCTTAGACTTAACATGTTGGAGCTGAGACTTTAAAAATTTATTTGCTTTTACCTTAATTGCATGCAAGTTCTGCTACAAATTTTAGATTTAACATTTTCCTGAACTAACCTTTAAAATTCCACTAAAATGGCTTGATGTACATCTTCAGCTGAAGAAACTGAAGGCCAGAGAGTGTTAGCGTCTCCTGGATTAGTAGCGGGCCGTAGGGCCCTAGAAGTAAGGAGTCCCAGTTTTACCTGGATTCTCAGATTCTGGAGGATAAGTCTGGATTCTTCTTAGCTGTGTGTCCTTGGACAATTTACCCAACCTTCCTGCGCCTCAGTTTCCTACTCTCTCCAATGGGGATAATCACAGTACTTAAGAATTAGTATTAAATGAGATTAGGCCCATAAAACGCGTAGCGTGTTGCTTGGCGCAATTAATATTGCTCAAGCTCTCATAGCTTGTCAGTAACAGAAACCAGGATACAGTCCCGGTGGCCCAATTCCTTGCCTTCTGTATTTCCCAACACATCACACGTAATGGTTCTCGGAACCGAGCGGTAAATCACCCAACGAACGCGCTTGGTATTACTCAAGCAAAGAGGTCGTCGCCACGAGAGGGGCCTAACGCGAGCCGCCAGTACTGCGCCTGCGCGGGCGTCCTTCCTCGCCTTGGTGCTCGACCTGAGGCGCCTGCGCACTGGGCCCAGCCCGCCCTCAAGGACTTACCCAGTGGGCAACGCTTCGGTCCCGGCCAAAATGGCGAGCAGGCCTGCTGGTAAGTGACTGATGTCTTATCTGGTGGGCGACGCTGCGCTCAACTTTTTATTTTCGCAGCAACTTGCTTCTCTTCCTTTGCTCTCTTAAGTGGCCAGGTTTGCGGTGTGAGGGAAAGCGGCGGATCCGTTCCAACCGACAGGACGCCTTTCCCCCCAGTCCCTGCTGTCCCCAGGCCATACTCGCCTGCGGGGTTGGGATGTGGACTTCCTCTTGGTAGAGGTGTCCGCGGTGGCTCCGACAGCCCAGGCGTTCCAGCTTCCTGTGCTCGGCAGCCTCAGAAAATTCCAGGGCTCAAGGAGATAAAATTAGTGGATGACTTTCAGCCAAAACGAACTGAGGGCTGTGAGCCAAGCGCTGTCATATACATTGCCGCGATAAATTCTTCTCCTGGCGCAACGAGGGGGGTATTAGCTTCCCATTTACGCTGATAACTGAGGCAATGTGACCAGAGGAAATAGGTTTGGAAACCTCATTCCACTCCTCGCGCTTCTCAAATTAGGAATTAGAGGTATCTGAGCAAGGGTTAAAGCGAAACTTCAAGTTAACCTTATTTGAAATGTCAGCTTGATTTGTCTATTTGAAGAAATTTGTATTTATTATAGACGCTAAAACATTTCTTAGTGAATCAAATACAGAATTACCGGAATATTTAAAAGAGAACGTGAACATCAAATAGAATTTTACACCCCACCCCCTGCGTTATTTGCGGGAGGGGGGGCAATGTCTGCCCTCTGTCGGTGAAAATTGGAATAACTTTTTTAAAAAATCGGTCCCTTTCTCCCTGCTCCAGCAATTGTGTAGCCATTAGGAAATATCAGAGTAGCAGAAAATGCATTAAATGACATTGAGCTTTTTGGGGGTGGGGAGAGACTTAAGAATTCATTATTTAATTAACTTTACAAATATTGAAAGCACCCTGCCTCTGTGCGGTTTTGGAACTAGATAGACCTGGCCTCAACTCTAGCTGCCTTTGGTCTTGGTTAGGATGACTTCTGTAAGCCTTATTTCTCTTATGCAAGGACAGGCATGCTGTAAATAACTGAACTAATGTGGGTAAAGCAAATAAGATAGTGCTTGGCACACAAGTGTTCAGTGAATATTATTATCACCATCACTGGTAAATATATTTAAAAATTTGCCTTCTACAAATATGTTGGTAGACTGTTGGCTCTTTGGTACTTGTTTTGCTAGAAGCAATATTATACATGGTGCTTAATTTCCAAGGAGATTTACCAAGTCTTATAGTCCGTGATGTACTAAGGAGTAGGTACAAGAAAGGGTTGGAGTAAAAGGAGAGTTTGCTTTCCTTCCTTGGTCAGGGACTAGCCCTAGACAAAATTAAAAAAAAAACTTTTTTTTAAACTTGCATTACCTCCCTTTCTGTACCACATCACTCATAAACATCAGACGCTATCGTGTTGCCCGTAGCAACTACTGGATTATCCCATCAGGTTTGGTCTTGTTCTCCAAAGAGTTTTAACATTACCTGTTTCTCCTCATCCATTTCAACTAATGGTTTCACAATTCTCCCAGAAAATTCATAGTTTTAAAGAGGGTAGCCAAGTGAACAACAGGTAATTTAGAATAAAAATTTTGGAGGATGAGGACTTGCCAGCCTAACCTGAAATCTCACCTTTTCAAATTTAGACTTGCCAGCCTAACCTGAAATCTCACCTTTTCATACAATTCCAACTCCCTTGAAAAGTTTACCTGTAATACAGCGGTCCCCAGCCTTTTTGACACCAGAGACGGGGGCTCCTATGAGAATCTAATGCCTGATGATCTGAGCTGGAACTGAGATGGTGATGCTAGCTCTAGGGAGCAGCTGCAAATACAGATGAAGCTTTGCTCACTGCTCACCTCCTGCTGTGCGGCCCGGATGTTGGGGACCCTTACTGTAATCTGTTTCTGAGACTACAAATCATGGAGAAGTTCTGAGTTCTTTTTCCATACCCTACCCCTTAAATTCTTATAGTAGCAGGGGGACATAAAGGGTTGGCATGCTTGTCTTGAGAGGCTGGAATGTCAGTAATTGTACCTGTAGATCTTTTGTACATTAAATGTTTGAGTTTACTTTTCCCCCCATGAGTTGCTGCCCAGTTTTTTTTACCTGCAGTCACTTTTGCTCATAGATAAAATAGCAATTTTTATCTACAGTATACACTTTTAAAAGGAAGTTCCTTCCTATGTTTGCATTCTCTAACAGAGTAACTATAAGAATAG